TTCTCAAATTCTGCCTCTGTCTTTGGTTACTTTTGCTCACATGTGAAAAACATAGAGTGCTGTGGAAATTAGATGAGTACATATATAGAAAGTGCGCCACAGGGACAGGCGCACGCAATAAGTGCTGTGTAAGTGTTGACAGTTGTTTATGTTGTTACAGTCGAAGGGTATGCCTTGGAGTGGCATGCATGTGAATCCACTCCCAAGTGTGGGCCAGGTGAACTTACCAGGCCCTGCAGGCCAGGGCTGCCCCCAATTTCTGGTTAGGAAGACTGGAGTGCACATCAGGTGGCAGCCCACAAGTACGTTTTGAGGCCACGGCTGTCATGAGAGCTAGAGTCTTGGTAATAAAACAGTGCTAGATGTGCTCTCTGTTCCTGAGCTTAAAAATAGCTTGAGAAAGAAAGTGATATTATCAGAAAATAATGTGTATAATTAAAAGTTGAAACTTTTAAAAACTCATTCAAAACTAAGTTTTTAAAAAGAGCCTGCTAGGTCAGGCACAGTGGCTCACGCCTGTAATCCCAGCACTTTGGGAGTTACAAGGTGGGCGGATCACTTGAGGTCAGGAGTTCAAGACCAGCTTGGCCAACATAGTGAAACCCCATCTCAAAAATACAAAAATTAACCGGGTGTGGTGGCGCACGCCTGTAATCCAAGCTACTGGGGAGGTTGAGGCACGAGAATCACTTGAACCTGGGAGGCAGAAGTTGCAGGGAACTAAGATCGTGTCCGTGCACTCCAGCCTGGGTGACAGAGTGAAACTGTGTCTCAAAAAAAAAAAGAAAAAAGAAAAAAGAAAAGAGAGACTGCCACAGGAGTTTAAGGGGGAGAAAGCAGTTGTCTAATCTGTTGGTTTCTAAATCGAGTCTCTGGACAGGTGCTGGCCTATGGTAAGGTTTTCATTGACCCAGGCCAAAATAAGAAAACTAAAGGCAAATATAACAAGGAAAGCTGATATTTACAAGCTTCCTCTGTGGCAGGGCACTTTCCTAAACGCTTTCTATGCTAACTCATCATCACAGTCCTATGAGACAAGTGATTATAGCTATAGTCAGGCTGTGCCTGGTTACACTTGTCTTCAGTGTGAGACTACTGAGATGAGTTTTTGTGTTTTTTTTTGTTTTTTTTTTTTTTTTTTGATCCAGAGTCTCACTCTCGCCCAGGCTGGAGTTCAGTGGCACTATCTCGGGCTCGCCGCAAGCTCCGCCTCCCAGGTTCATACCATTCTCCTGCTTCAGCCTCTCAAGTAGCTGGGACTACAGGCGCCCGCCACCACACCCGGCTAATTTTTTTTTGTATTTTTAGTAGAGACGGGGTTTCACTGTGTTAGCCAGGATGGTCTGGATCTCCTGACCTCGTGATCCGCCTGCCTCGGCCTCCTAAAGTGCTGGGATTACAGACGTGAGCCCCTGCACCCAGCCTGACTTTTGTTTCTTTTCCAGATATAAATTTAGAAGTTGAGAAGTATATTTTGAAAAGGCATAATAAGAAAAACTATGGTGTATCATTATTTTAACTTGCTATATGAAAACCTAAAGCACAGTCTTTTGTTTCTTTTCTGGATATAAATTTAGAAGTTGAGAAGTGTATTTTGAAAAGGTGTAATAAGAAAAACTATGGTATATCATTATTTTAACTTGCCACATGAAAACTTAAGGCACAGGGAGGTAACTTGCCCAGAGGCGCAGCCCTCGGTAGTGGGGGAGCCAGGATTCACTGTCAGCTGACTGACTCCAAATTCAGCACTCCTGACCACGACTGCCAGCTCAGTAGTGAATTTTCCCCAGCGCTGCATTTGTTCAATGTAAAGAATTGTTAAGGAAGACTTTTCGTGACTCATGCCGGTAATCCCAGCACTTTGGGAGGCTGAGGCGGGTGGATCAGTGAGGTCAGGAGTTTGAGACCAGCCTGGCCAACATGTTGAAACCCCATCTCTACTAAAAATACAAAAATTAGCCGGGCGTGGTAGTGGGCGCCTGTAATCCCAGCTATTCGGGAGGCTGAGGCAGGGGAATTGCTTGAACCCAGGAGGCGGAGGTTGCAGTGAGCTGAGATCATGCCCCTGTACTCCAGCCTGGGTGACAGAGCAAGACTCCGTCTCAAAAAAAAAAGACGTTTTTATGAAATTGTATTAGAGAATAGTTGTGTTTTAAATCTTTATTTGGCAAAACACAAAATTTGCCGCCTTTGCCCCTCATTTTTTTGTTGGTCCATAAAACCCAAGTTATACCTTTTTATTTTATAGGTGAAGAAACTCAGCCATTGAGATGAAACAATTTGCCCAAGGTCACATGTTTTCATCCAGGCACTGAACGTCTTCCACTGGTTTTATTAGACTTTGGAAAGTGGACAAGATTTGATAAGAGGAAGGAGCACTGGGAAAGCTTTTTGTCCGTGGTTTCTGTATTAGACTGTAGTGCCTGGCTCCTCCGGCACGAGCCTCTGAATGTTAGCCAAACATACATTTGATCCAGTAGTTCCGAAGACTTGAATGGCTTGATGAATTTCAACATTTATAAGGAATATTCTTCTGTGAATGTCACTGCTAATTATTCATTGTGCATTGTATTTCAGAGATTTTTTTTTTCCTACATTTTAAACTGAAACCCAGAATCTTTCACACATTCATAGTTTCAGAGCCAAAGCAAGTCATCTAGTTGGCCAACCCTGGTTCTTCACACTCGCTCAGTGTACTTACAACCTCAGTTTCACACACGATAGGCTGGTACATTTTATTATACGTCACTTATTTTTGTTTTAGGTTAGAGCCACAGCTGAAACAACTACAAACAAAATATGATGAACTTAAAGAGAGAAAGTCTTCCCTTAGGAATGCAGCATATTTCTTATCTAATTTAAAACAGCTTTATCAAGATTATTCAGATGTTCAAGCAAAAGAACCAAACATAAAGGAAACGGTAATTCCAATTTTACTTTTACCATGCTTCAGAAGATGATTGCGGGAGGGCATTTTCATGCTAGAGTATCAGAAGCTTTGGGGAAAGACAAATGCAGAGACAGAATTACAGAGTCCACCTAAAATAGTATCACTATAAACCAGTGAAACTTCATTATATCAGCACTTTTCTTAGCTACTTAATGAAGGCTAGAGGAGTAATGTCCAGAATTGCTGATTCGTGTAAGATGTTTTCACTCGGACAGCTGAATTTCATCAAGGGAAGTTTATATTCTGTGTATAAATCTCAATTGAAAAATCACACTCTGCTGTATTATAATTTTCATTCATATAAGACCACTCAGCCATGTTTGAAAGACCAACCTTTTCTGTTTTGTCTAGCCCATGTTCACAGCGTCTTTTACATATGAAAAACAAGCTATTTTTCCATATAAGTGGTAGGTATGATTTTAGAAGCTAAGAAACAGGCCAGGTGTGATGGCTCTCACTTGTAATCATAGCACTTTGGGAGGCTGAGGCAGGTAGATCCCTTGAGCCCAGGAGTTCAAGACCCGCCTTGGGCGATATGGTGAAACCCTATCTCTACTAAAATACAAAAACCCGCCAGATGTGGTGGTGCGTGCCTGTAGTCCCAGCTACTCAGGAGGCTGAGGTGGGAAGATCACTTGAGCCCTGGAGGTCCAGGCTGCACTGAGCTGTGATCACACCACTGCACTCCAGCCTGGGTGATAGAGCAAGACCTTGTCTCAAAAAAAAAAAAAAAAAAAAGTTAAGAAACATTAAAAGGGAATATAATGGGAAAACATATTTATTGTTTTAATACATTTTGTAGTTGCTTCTGGATTTTTACTGCAGACTTTGCTACTGTTAGGCTATCTGCCTCAGATTAATAGAAATGTTTAAGTTCTAGGGAAAAAATTTGTATACCCTAATATAATTTTATATAAAATATGTATAATTATATGTAATATATACATATTTTATGATCAGATTTGTATTCTTCACTTCTAAATTCAATGTTAAGGTTTTGACACTGATCTAATTTTCCTGAGCCTAAGATTTGTTTATATATTAGAGATCTGGAAATAGAATGCTTTTAAAGGTATTTTTTTTAATTACCTAACTAGTCCAAAGCTTATGATTTGGAGTTTGGTTACTAAATTTGGGGAAGTTACCTGTAGCATTGATTCAGCTTGAACATAATACTTTAGTTAAAAGCGAGGTTTAGTGTCTCTGCCTTGTCTGGAAAATACCGCTGGATGAGCATCCTGTTCTTGGCATGACCTCAGTGCCTTCTTGCACTCCTCTTGTAGTAATTGTCACTTTTGCCTTATTGAGTGTAGATATTTGGGCATATGTCTTACTCTAAACATTTAGTGACAAATGTGACTTCTTCCCCTTTATCCCTCCCTAGAGCAGGTGCCCATGGGAGCTTGAACACATTAGTTTGTCAAATATTTGTATAAAATTTCATTATCATATGTGGTAGTCACAGCATGACAGCTTTTCTGCTGTCATCTTGAAAACATGATATTAAGCAGCAAACTATCAAAGTATGATACAATTCTGTAAGGGGAATTTAATCATGCACCCTTAGATACAATTTGCAACTGGAATTTTGACTTTGTTAATTATTTCAAAATCGGGGCTGGGCATGGTGGCTCACGCCTGTAATCCCAGCACTTTGGGAGGCTGAGGCGGGTGGATCACAAGGTCAGGAGTTCAAGACCAGCCTGGCCAACATGGTGAAACCTCGTCTCTACTAAAAAATTAAAAAAAACAAAAAAACAAAAAAAAACAAGCTGGGCGTGGTGGCGGGCGCCTGTAATCCCAGCTACCCGGGAGGCTGAGGCAGAGAATTGCTTGAACCCAGGAGGCAGAGATTGCAGTGAGCCAAGATCACGCCACTGTACTCTAGCCTGCTGACAGAGTGAGACTCCGTCTCAAAATGTTAATTATTTCAAAATCATGAGTTGGATGTTGTGTTTTATTTTATGTTGGGTTTGTGTTCTAATTTTAACTTTAATCATTAAGAACATTTGGATTGGCAACCTTTGAGACATTTAATTGATTCTCCCAATAATTTCTTGAGATGATAGATTTGGGTTTTTTTTTTTCTTAGGAACTTTTATGGATCTGGTGTCCTCATTCCATTAGTTCTTTAAAGTAAAACCTCTTTTACAGTTTTCTGTGTTTTAAAATAGACATGATATCAAGTAGACCCTACACAGCACGAGCAGACTTGCCAAAACCAAGCCTTGACGTGTCCCAGGCATGATTTCCTGTCTTCAGTAATAGAGATGATACAGTTCTTTGAATCAACTGGTCTTCTGGGATAAGAAGATCAGTTCAAGCTTTGCAGAGCAGCTCCCTAGCAACTTTGTGATCAATTACGTTTTAAGGAAATGGATTAAAACCAGTTGTCTTAATGGTCCTAGTTAAAAATGAGAGGAGTAGTAGTTAATGGAAAGCTCAATCACAATTTGCATTGGTCATAAGGCTGGGCTACGTAACGACAAGGTTGTAAGTTTTTGATATTGCTAATTATGTAAGTTTTTTTCTTTTAACAGTATGATTCATCCAGCCTTCCAGCCCTGTTATTTAAAGCAAGAACACTTTTGGGAGCCGAAAGCCATCTGCGAAATATCAACCATCAGTTAGAGAAGCTCCTTGACCAAGAATGAGAAGAGCAATCTACTAAAATGGGCCCATAGGAAGACTAGTCTCATGCTGTTACCGTCTGAAACTGTACTTTTATAAATAAATTGTTTTGCAAAGAAGTTATGGCCTACTTGCCAGAATCTAAAATTTGTTATTCAGATTAAATGGCTGTGAACAATGTTAAATAGCATCAGTTTGTCCAATAGTTTTAGAGGCCATAATCATCTTTTCTGGTTAATATCTTGAGTAATTTAAAAATGTTGACACCTTAATCAGCCCCAGATATGAGCTGTAATAAACCTGTAAAATTAAGTTGATGTGAATGTAATTTTGATTAGTTAAGGCGATTTCTATTGAATTTAAGTACATCAAAGGTAATTTTTAATAAAATTGGTTTATAGAAGTAAAAAACAAAAATTGGAAAGAAAGTGATAAAACTTATCAGGTTGAATGATATATTTATCAAATCTCACAGACATCAGGCAAATTATAGCCTGGTGACAAAAGTGTCCATAGTGAATTAGCTACTCTTGTAATACTTCTATAATTAGCTCGTCAGGAATTTCATCCGCTTCACTGTTATAACTGAGAAGACTGTTCTCTGCAGCTTCAGCTAATTCAGCATCTTCAGTAGCTTCTAAAAAATAAGCATCATCAATGTCATTATCCCAGACAGCATCAGCAGATGCACCTGTTGACAGCTTGCTAGGTGATGGTTTATGAGGATTCTGGGTTTCATTGCTCCTAGTTTCATCTGCTTCATCTGTTGTCAACTCTTCTTCCTTTATTTCAGTGGGGAAGGGTGAGAGAGTGGGACAGGAAAATATTTACTCAGGATATGTGATTTAACCATATACTCTATGTTGAAGTAAGGTATTAAGTGACAGATACTAAAGTGAATATGCTGAAGGCATGCTGTCTCCGATATCTCACCGTGGGAATGAGTGCACTGATGCAAACATTGCTGCACCGAAGCTCAGACACACTTGAAACTCCAAATTTGAAATTACCTGCAGTGCTGTGACACATACTTTTCAATATTCCCCGATGGAGGAAGAGCAAGAGTAGATTTAATTTTTTAACAAGTGGACAGTCCAGCTGAAGACAAATCAAGATAAATTTGCTACCTTTACAATGGACTTACTACCCATGCTCTAAATTTTAAAGTATTTAGAAAATTACAAACATGGATTGAAAAAAGATTAAAAACAGTTGCCAAAATATGACTGGATTGTATATTACATAATAGTATTGTATCAATTATTGGACCATAGAATGTCTTCAGTATAGACATTTAGTTGATCCTCTCAAAAAATTATTTATGTAAAGAATGTCCTTATTCAGTGCAGTGGCATGTGCCTGTAATCCCAGCTACTTGGGAGGCTGAGACAGGACGACTGCTTGAGGCCAGGAGTTTGAGACCAGCCCAGGCAACATGATACCCCCCTCTCATTAAAAAATCTACAGAATGTCTTATTCTTCAGCTACGTGCTTAAATATTAGGAGATGAAGGGTTTTGATGTCTGCAGTTTGAGTCATCAAAAATAAGAATGCATATGTATATACAGTAGAAGGAGAAAACGAATGTTGCCAAATGTTAACAAATGGCAAATCTCAATGAAGGACAGACAGCAGAGTTCCTTATTCTTGTACATTTCTGTAGGTCAGACCTTATATTAAATTTAAAATCGGGTCACCAATGAAATAAAATGATCAGTGCAATAGAAAAGCAGGTATAAATAAAACCAACTGGTAATTTAGTTTAAAATATTTTTTTTAAAACCAGATGAAGCACGAGGCAAAATGTTAACTGAAAACCAAGTGATAGCTACATGGGTGTTCATTATATATCTTATTATTTTAAAAAGTTATGTCCAAGTAGTAATACTGTACCCCAATGGTACTTTCAACTTGGCATTTTTGACACGTTACTGGATAAGCGGAAAAAGCTTAAAAATCCACTGCAACCACAAATATCTAAATCACAATCCAGACCAACAAGGATGATACAATCCTCCTCCTCTGGGAGACAGTTTATTTTTTAAAATTTACTTTGTTCTTATTTCAACACACATTTTAGCCTGGTATTTTGCCAGAGAATTTGGCTATCAGTTATTTTAAGTCCAGCTCTTGCAAACCAAGAATGGAATTTCCACCATTTCAAACGGATGGAGTTTTTTTCGATGGACATGTGTTACAACTTGAGTAGATACCAGATTGAATTTTCTAGACTATAAACCCAATCACTTGTTCTGCTTGTAGCGGGTAACTTTATTCTAACCATAACACTATAAAGGAAAAAGCTGATAGATGTGACCAAAAAAAACAAAAACACAAACTAAAACCTAAAAGTAAAAGAAATATGTCAAAAAGAGTACTTAAGTTATTGCAAAAAAGTTACAGAAAAATGGATAGAGGACAGGTACACGCACTTCATTATAGAAATACTAATAGTGAATCTGAAAAAAGTTCATTAAAGAAATGCAAATTAAAACAACTGAGGTACTGCATTTTTGCCTACCAGATGAGTAGTGATTCGAGGTAAACAAGCACTGTTGGCAAAGTGTGAGGTAATAGGTGCTCTCAAATTATTTGTGGAGGTCTAATCCTATACTTTGCATGGAGAGCAATTTGTGCCACTGAAAATATTTGTGATACTTCAAGTAGAAAAAAAACTGAAATAGTATGTGTGCTATCACAATGAACACACATAAATTCTCGAAGGTACATGCCAAAACATTTGTATCATTTATCTCTGGTCAAATGAGTGAGTAAGATTCCTCTTTTGCTTTTTGTGTATTTCCTAATTTTATGGGTTTTTTGTTTTTTGTTTTTTTTGAGGCAGTCTCACTCTGTCTGCCAGGCTGGAGTATAGTGGCATGATATCAGCTCACTGTAACCTCTGCCTACCGGGTTCAAGGGATTCTCCCGCCTCAGCCTCCTGAGTAGCTGGGATTATAGGCATGGGCCACCACACCTGGCTAATTTTTCTATTTTTAGTAGAGATGGAGTTTCTTCATGTTGGCCAGGCTGGTCTCAAACTCATGACCTCAGGTGATCCGCCTGCCTCGGCCTCTTAAAGTGCTGGGATTACAAGCCTGAGCCACTGTGCCTGACCTAATTTTATGTATTTTCAATTCATTCTACAATGCATGTTAATTATTTGGGTAAATAAAAATCTTTAAGAGAAAAATGTTGGTTTGACAATCTGGTAATACCTACCAAAATTAAAACTGAATATGCCCTTTGACACAATTCTACTTCCAGAAATTCATCCTACAGATACAAATGTTCAAAGAAACACAAAGATGGGTATTTTGTTACTTTGAAAAGCAAAATACGGGAAACTTCTTAAATGCCTGGGACTGATGAAATTGTACACCTTCTCAAGCAGCAGTGAAAAACAAGGTGTGTATTAGGTATGTGCTGAAATGGGAAAATCACTACAATATATTCCTACAATACAGTCATAAGTGAAAACAAGGTACCAAATGGGTTTCAAAGCTATTTGGACACTCATGGCTCAGGTATACTATTGTACCAATAACTCCCTGGTAAGGAGAAAGACTAAAATCTGTACTTACCTCTTTGAAAAGAAACAGGAGACATACTTCGGCAGGCAATGGGAAACCTGAATCAGAAAGACAGCAAAACTATTACATATTATAGCTATCTAATTTTTACTTTGTGGTAAATGTAAAAAACAGTAACTCACAGTCAGATTTGAAGTTTTCTGCTTTACATACAGGGTCATGACATTTTTGATACCAAAATTCATTTTTCAGATCAACCAGAATCCTTTATGTTTAAAAACAAAAAAAAAAGTAATATTAATACCAAGACTGAGCAGAAAACAAAATCCAGCTGCATGCTGTTCCAAAAAAAAAATTCCTAAAACTTACAAAGACAGAGAAAAATTAAAAAGTGAAAGGATAAAAATAGATATATATCAACCAAAACAGTGGTTGCCAAAAATCACACAAAATGAACTGCAGGGCAAAAAGTAGATACAAAAGTTCCCCCAGGAAGATACAACAATTCTCAACCTGTATTCACCAAATAATACAGCTGCATCTTTGTAGAGCTGGGTTTTGGGGTGTGGTTATAATAAAAAGCACCATTAACATCAGGCCAGGCGCCGTGGCTCACACCTGTAATCCCAGCACTTTGGGAGGCCAAGGTGGGTGGATCACAAGGTCAGGAGTTTGAGACCTGCCTGGCCAACATGGCGAAACCCCATCTCTAATAAAAATACAAAAAAAATTAGCCAGGCGTGGTGGCGGGCACCAGTAATCCCAGCTACTCAGGGGGCTGAGGCAGGAGAATTGCTTGAACCCGGGAGGCAGAGGTTGCAGTGAGCCAAGATCGCGCCATTGCACTCCAGCCTGGGTGACAGAGCAAGGCTCCGTCTCAAAAAAGCACCATTAACATCAACGGAAAACAAGGTATGAGTTAGGGAGGCCGGTGTCTAATCTGATTCCAAAGTTTAAGAGTGCATACATAGGCCTGGCGAGGTGGTTCACACCTGTAATCCCAGCATTTTGGGAGGCTAAGGTGGGAGGATAGCTTGACGGCAGGAATCCAAGGCCAACCTGGGCAACAGAGAGAGACCCTATCTACAAAAAATTTAAAAATTAACCAGCCATGGTGGCACACCTGTGTTCTAAACTACTCGAGAGGCTGAAGCAGGAATATTGCTCAAGCCCAGGAGATGAAAGCTGCAGTGAGCCGCTGCACTCTGTCCTCAAGCCTGGGCCATGCCACTGCACTCAAGCCTGGGTGACAGGGTGAGACCTTGTCTCAAAAACATGAAAAAAAGGAGAGTATACATCCCATTAATAATAGTATTTAAGAATGAAATAAAAGTGTGGTTTTTTGTTTGTTTGTTTTAGTTTCATGGATACTGTTATTCAAACTGCCACTACACTGTTAGGACATAAACACTTACCAAGTTGTTTGAAATTCATTACTAGAGCTCAGGTATTTCTTTCGGCCTCAGAGAAAACGTGAAAAAACAAAGACACCAGGGGAACCATGAACCAAGAAAATCTGGGAACTTCTGGACCAAGTGCTAGGCGTTCAGTCCTTACCTACAGAATGCTCTTTGCAGAAAGTTTCTGATTTTAGAATTGCATTGGTAAGTCAGTCTGGAACGGATGCATTATGAGGCATGCTTTCCGGAAATGTCACCCGGCTGTGCAACTGGAGTCTACAGTGCAGGTGAGTCATAACCTTGGCGCTTCCGCTGTGTGCAGGGTTGCGCACTTCTGCCTCGGGTTTCCGCGGGAGTCAGAAAGGGCAGATGCCCTGGGCCTTGCTCTGCCCCATTTGTGCCTTTTCATTCCTTGTATTCTGACATTATTAGTAAAGCTTGACACTGGGCAAGATTTCTGATGTGCGTGGATGTAATTTGATTATCCAATCCTTAACTTCATTAATCAGGGAAATTCCCATGAAAACCACAATATTGTTTTATATTTGCCAGATGAGCAAAACCAATTTTTTAATCCTAACAACACAAAAGTGTTGGTGAGAACATGGAACAGTAGAAAAATCTCAAAACACTGCTGGCTGGACTATAAACTGGCACATCCATTTGGGAAAACAATTTATGATCTAGTAAAATTAAGTATGTACATATTCCATGACACAGCAAGTCCACTTTGAGAAAGTCTTGCACGTGTATCCTGGGTGCTATGTACAAGAAGGTTCCCACCTTCATGGTTTATAATAGCAACCCAAATGTCCACTGTGGGAAAATAAACTGTGGCATATTTATATTTACGTACATGGCATGCGGCACAATAATGACCCGAATAAACAACAGCCGCGCGCTGCAACGTGGGTGAGAATCACAGACATGCTGCCGCAAAGTGAGGGAAAGGATGCAGTTCAAAAACAAGCAAAAGAAAACAGTATACTGTTTATGGCCGGGCACGGTGGCTCACGCCTGTAATCCCAGCACTTTGGGAGGCCAAGGCGGGCGGATCACCTGAGGTCGGGAGTTCGAGACCAGCCTGACCAACATGGAGAAACCCCGTCTCTACTAAAAATACAAAACATTAGCTGGGCATAGTGGTGCACGCCTGTAATCCCAGTTACTCGGGAGGCTGAAGCAGGAGAATTGCTTGAACCCGGGAGACAGAGATTGCAGTGAGCCGAGATCGCATGATTATACCCCAGCCTGGGCAACAAGAGTGAAACTGTCTCAAAAAAAAAAGAAAACAGTATATTGTTTAGAGATATGAACATATATGGAAAAATCATAAAAACAAGCAAAAGATGAACACAAATCGGGACACTGGCCACCATCTCTGAGGGCCAGGGAGAGAGGGAAATTGGGGTTGGGCCCACAGGTGCTTCTGAGGTTTGATCAGGTTCTGGTTCTTAAGGTGGGTGGCAGATACGACAGGTGGTCATTTTAGTCTTTAAAATGTGCATATAAAAGTGTGTTATCGGCTGGGTGAGGTAGCTCACACCTGTAATCCCAGCACTTTGGGAGGCCAGGGCAGGCAGATCACTTGAGGTCAGGAGTTTGAGACCAGCCTGGCCAACATGGTGAAACTCCGTCTCTACTAAAATTACAAAAAGTAACTGGGTGTGGTAGCACGCACTTGTAATCCCAGCTACTTGGGAGGCTGAGGCAGGAGAATCACTTGAACCAAGGAAGTGGAGGTTGCAGTGAGCTGAGATCACGCCACCGCACTCCAGCCTGGGCGACAGAGCGACATTCTGTCTCAGAAAACAAAAAAAAGTGTGTTATCTATACTTTCGTACGTAAGATACATTCTATGGGTAAAAAACAGAATAGATCATGGAGACATAATACAAGGTGTTATGATCACCATGTGATAATGATTTTTTGGTAAGTTAATATGCGTACAAAAAAGAACAGAAGATACGTCAACTGATAGCTGCGGTTATGTCCTGACTGTGGCACTGATCTCCTTCGTGTTTTCTGTGTTATAGCTTTGTGTATTGAGCCTACAGTTTTTGCAAGCTTTTTAAAAACTGAATTAATCTAAGTACATCAAGTATGACACCGAACCATGCTACCCAATGTGTTTCCAGCTTCCCAGAAAGAGCGTCCCGATCATTTCCCCACGTCCAGCACACAGGCCACATATGCTCGATGATACGGGTGTTGGTTTGACATGAAATAAAAAACAGCAAAATTTCTCACATCATAACTGATAACTACTGGGTATCTATTTATCTCTATTCTAATCACATCCTTTTATGTTTTAAAGTCCTATTTCTGGCTTTACTTCATCCTTTACTTTCCCTCCTCTTCCCATGGGCATTTTAAAGAAAATCTCTCAAACAGGGCCTGGCATATATACCAAGCATTCAATAAATACTAGTTCCCTCAATACCACGCTGTGTCTTGAACAAGTTAACACAATCCTAGCTCCAGTTCTTCACGATAACTGAGGAGATACCTTCTTGCCTAAACCTGCGCACTTTCAACGCAGAGTCCATAATGTGGCAAGGGCCAATGGCAACAGGAAGGAGAGGCGCGCTTCCCATCCTCACCGCACCCCGCCCACAGCCTTCTCCCAGCCCTACTCAACCCCACCTTTGTCCTCTCCAGATATACTACGCGGTTATTATCTTAAGCAAATAAAGTACACATAAAGCTGATGTGCTAGAAGCGATGCAATAATTACACTGAAATTAAATATTATGTAATGCTAACCATATACAACAAATAGAAACTTAATACAACAGCCGGGCGCGGTGGCTCACGCCTGTAATTCCAGCACTTTGGGAGGCTGAGGCGGGTGGATCACAAGGTCAGGAGTTGGAGACCAGCCTGGCCAACATAGTAAAACCCCGTCTCTACTAAAAATACAAAAATTAGCTGGGCGTGGTGGCAGGCGCCTGTAATCCCAGCTACTTAGGAGGCTGAGGCAGGAGAATTGCTGGAACTCAGGAAGCAGAGGTTGCAGTGAGCCACGATCACACCACTGCACTCCAGCCTGGGCAACAGAGCAAGACTTCGTCTTGGAAAAAAAAAAAGAAATTTAAAACAACTAAATTTATTTTTAAAACAAAATAGTTTTCATAGTCTCAACTTTATTTAAAAGTTATAAACATTTAAAATATAATATTGGTTAAAAACACACAAATCATTAATATTACTTACATTATATTATTACTCTTATGGGCTCTTCCAATGTTTTCACACCACCGATATTTACAAATATCATAAACCAGTAATTCTTCTGGGAAAAAGTAGTTCCAACGCCGAATTCCTAAAATGCAAATAATGTTTCTAAAGGTACTATCACTCTATCATATAACAGTTAGCAAAGGATGAGATTAACTTTACCTCCTTTAATGCCATCTTTATTCACCAAAGAAAGAACAAAATGATCAACTTCAGGATAGGGAGAACACTGAAAACCTTCAATGGTTTCTGCTGCAACAGAGAGAATGATTTATAAATTACAATAGCTGAAAGCTGAGAAGTTACATTTTGATTAAATGCTGTTGAGTACAATTATGGGTTTTGCAATCTCTCGGCCTTCCCTCACTTTTTGCAATTTCAGTCAATTCACGTTTGTTATACTACAAGGAAGCAGGTAAAAGTCAAACCTCTCAATTAGGTCAAATGTTAACTAATTTCATAAAAAGCGCTTGAAATAATTTCAACTGCTGTCTTCATTTTGGCAAACAGAAAGACAGTCCCTCACGTCCGGAACAGGCCTAGCTCCATCAGCCAGGCCTTGGTGTTGCCATGCGCTAGCCTGGCACGCCTACCTCAGCCTGGGCATTGTCCTGTGAACACAGGCACTCACAGAACGTCAACAACAGATAAGGCCCCTGTGGTCATGAGGACTCAAGGAACAAAGATAACCCCTGGGTAATCATGTCCCAACACAGACAAAACAGGAACATCTTCCAAACCACAAAAATGACCAACACCCCTGATCTCAGCAAACATAAGCAACTGGTTTTTGTGTGTTCGTTTGTTTTTAACAAATTACAGTGTTAATTTCTATTCTGGTTTCCCTTCAGTTAAGCTTTACTAAGAAAACCAGTCATAGAATTGTGCCTGACAACACCCAATGCAGAACAAACCCCAGGGTTCCTGGTATACTCCCCCCACCCACCCATTCCAAGCCCAAATCCAATCCTCCGGGTCCTTTCCAACCCCGCTTCCCGAGATGCCCCACTTTACTGAGGTTCCCCATGGTGTGTGCTGGCCATCGCTTCCCTGGCAATACACTAGGCTGACCCGCTACAGGTGTGTGCCCTGAGGCCTTTAGCTGGAAGGTACTGATGATCCAATTATATTTTCTAAAAAGCTACTGTAGTAATTTAGAATGACCTATTTTAAGTATCGTTTAATTTTTTTTTTTTTTTCTTGAGACGGAGTCTGGCTCTGTGGAGTGCAGTGGCGCGATCTTGGCTCACTGCAACCTCCGCCTCCTGGGTTCAAGCAGTTCTCCTGCCTCAGCCTCCTGAGTAGCTGGCACTACAGGCACCCGCCACCATGCCTGGCTAATTTTTGTACTTTTAGTAGAGATGGGGTTTCCCTACGTTGGTCAGGCTGGTCTCAAACTCCTGACCTCATGATCCCGCCTGCTTTCGCCTCCCAAAGTGCTGGCATTACAGGCATGGGCCACCGAACCCAGCCAGTATCATTTAATTTTTTTTTTTTTTTTTTTTTTTGAGACAGAGTCTCGCTCTGTCACCCAGGCTGGAGTACAGTGGCGCGATCTCGGCTCACTGCAAGCTCCGCCTCCAGGGTTCACACTATTCTCTGCCTCAGCCTCCAGAGTAGCTGGGACTACAGGTGCCCGCCACCGCGCCTGGCTGATTTTTTGTAATTTTAGTAGAGACGGGGTTTCACCGTGGTCTGGATCTCCTGACCTCGTGATCCAAGTTTGCTTTAAATGAAGTTTATGTTTCACTTACTAAAATGATATATATAATTGGAGAAATATTGGAAAACATATTAATGTGGAAATGTGAGCTGTGGACTCTAAATCAATGTCTATAAATACGTATGAAACAGAAGAAAATAAACATAAGAAAATGTTATCCATATTTTAAAGTAAGCTTGTAATCATACTATACACATAATTTTAGAGACTACTTTTTCCTTTAACATCACAAATGGGTGTTTTCCACATTATACAGGCTTCATAAATTTAAATTAAACAGCTAGAGGATTTCATAGTATATAACCAACTCACTTTTGCTGTACAGTTAGATTGCTTTCATTTTTTCACTATTATAAATAACAACAATATATGAAAATATGTGTATAAAAATGTTTACTGGAGGGTTTATGTAAGAAATATTTGAAAAAAACGCTCTATGTTCTTCAATAGAGGAATGGGTGAGTTATGACAGAGCTGTACCATGAAAAACTACACAACCATTAAAAGACTGAGGAAGATCTCTCTACATATATTGGAAACATAGGAAAAGCTCTTCTAGGTTAAATAGAAAATGACTGCAGTATTTACCTGACTGATCGTGGACAGAAGGGTGAAAAAGAAATTTAAGTTTTCATTTTGTTCTGTGTTTATTTTATACAAATAACCTACATTATTTTTGTAGTTTTTTGAAAAACACCATAAAATGAAAATTAGTGAATAATACTTTTTTTTTTTTTTTTTGAGATGGAGTCTCACCCTTGTTGCCCAGGCTGGAGTGCAGTGGCACGATCTCAGCTCACCGCAACCTCCGCCTCCCAGGTTCAAGCGATTCTCTTGCCTCAGTCTCCCGAGTAGCTGGGATTACAGGCACCTGTCACCATGCCTGGGTAATTTTTATATTTTTACTGATTTCACCGTGTTGGCCAGGCTATTCTCAAACTCCTGAACTCAGGTGATCCACCCACCTCGGCCTCCCAAAGTACTCGGATTAGAGCATGAGCCACCACGCCCGGCGAATACTTCTTAATAAACATCTTTTTCATACTTTTTGCGTTTGAGATAGAAACCCTGAAGTAGATGAGTGAGTGATTGATTAGCTGACTGGCTGAGACAGGGTGTGATTCTGCTGCCCAGGCTGGAGTGCAATGGCACCATGAAGACTCAGTGCAGCTTCAACCTCCTGGCCTCAAGAGATCCTCCTGCCTCAGCCTCCTGAGTGGCTGGGACGACAGGCATGCACCGCAACTCCTGGCTAATTTTTGGATTTTTTTGTAGAGATAGGGTTTTGCTAAGTTGCTCAGGATTGTCTCTAACTCCTGGGCTCAAGTGATCCTCCTGCCTCAGTCTCCCAAAGTGCTGGAATTACAGGTGGGAGTCACTGCGCCTGGCTAGAGGTAGTTTTTGAAAGATCAGTGATTATGAATACTTAACATTTAAGATTTTAAAGGCAAAACAGATTCTGTATCCTTACATTTTGATAGGAAATTTTTTTTTTTAAATTACCTGAAGTAGCTGCGTGCAGTGGCTTGTACCTGTAATCTCAGCATTTTGGGAGGCTGAGGCAGACAGATCATTTGAGCCCAGGAGTTTGAGACCAGTCTGGGCAACATGGTGAAATCTCATCTCTACTAAAAATACAAAAATTAGCTAGGTGTGGTGGTGCACGCCTATAGACCCAACTACTCTGGAAGTTGAGGCAGGAGGATGGCTTGAGCCTGGAAGGAGGAGGCTGCAGTGAGCCGAGATCGCACCACTGCACTCCAGCCTGGGTGACAAAGAGATGCTGTCTTAAAAAGAAAACAAACATCAAAAAATTTACCTGAAGTGCCGATACTGTTAAAATATCCAACTCCTTTTTGTTTATTCTGAGATGGGTCACATGTAAGAATTCGTAAAGTATCTGAGAACCTGAGGAAGAAATAGGTAAAAGAAACAAAGCACCATTACACTGGAACTACAAGGCCTGGCTACAGAAAGGATGCTGAATTCCTAATAGTTTCTCATTAAAATCCTTTGTTCAGCAGATAATTGTTCTAGGACATTTATTCCACATTTGCCCACAAAACCACGAACCCCACACATATAAAAAATATGATTTGTCAATTAAATAATTTTTTAAAGAGCAGGTTGGTGATTACTTATAATACTATCCTCAATTACAGAATGGATCATGGACTCTAGGGCTACTGAAGCCCTGTGTCCATGGTTTCACATCTGCAGATTCAACCAACTGCAGATCAAAAGTATGTCTTTTAAAAAACAATAAAAATAGGCCAGACACAGTGGCTCACGCCTATAATCCCAGGACTTTGGGAGGCTGAGATGGGCTGATCACTTGAGGTCAAGAGTTTGAGACCAGCCTAGCCAACATGGGGAAACCCATCTACTAAAAATACAAAAATTAGCCAGGTGTGGTGGCAGGCACCTGTAATTCCAGCGACATGGCAGGCTGAGGCAGGAGAACTGCTTGAATCTAGGAGGCGGAGGTTGCAGTGAGCTGAGATTGTATCATTGCACTCCAGCCTGGGTGACGGAGTGAGATTCCATCTCAAAAAAATAAGTAAATAAGTGAAAATTAAAAAAAATAAAAATAAAAATAACAACAATAAAAATAATACAAATTAAAAACAATATAGTATAACAACTATATGGCATGTGTACTGTATTAGGTATAGGTAATCTAGCAGGATTTACAGTATTATATATGGAGGATGTGTGTGGGTTACGTGAAAATAGTACATCCTTTTATATCTGCAGATTTTTGTATCCACAGGGGTCTTGGGATAATAATCACCCACAGACACCAGGTGACGACTATATAACTCTATTCACCAAACATAAAGAGCCTTTGAATTTTTTGTTACAACAATTGTAGAGGTGTGACTTATAGGAAGAAATGAAGGAAGAAGGAGGGGTGAGAGCAAAGGGAAAAACAGATTAAAATTAACGGAAAGAAAAGGTACATTCATAATCATAAAGGATTTAGCCTTTATTTCAAGAAGTAAAATACCTGGTATTGACTTGGAATACACAAAAGACAAGGTGACTGTATTCACTAGAAGAACCCTCCACCTCTGTAAGATTCATATTTAAACTGCGAAAGAAACGGGACTGGGTAATCGGGAGATTACCTGCACTTCCGGCTGGAGTTGCTTTTCCCATAGGAGCTAGAACTAACAATGTTGCTTTTCGCACTTCTCCATAAGTGGTAGAAAGAATGTGACCTTATTCTGGTGCCAACAGGGGGTGGCAGGAAATATACAATTTGTACACTCCTGCTATGGCACTTCCCATTTTCAGAATCTCAGATACTACTACCGCTACCAACAACATTCACTGAGCAGATGCCATGAGCTGGGCACAGCTGTAAATGTTTTATGTGCACAATTTTAACTTTGTAAATGCTCTCGACAACTCCATAAGGTGGGTGTTAGTATCATTTCCATTTAAAAGTAGGAAACTCAGACCTTACTTCGGAGACATGTTATTAAAAGAATTCAAAGAGTACAAATATATATATGAAGAAAAACAATCCATCTTCCATCCTCCTGGGTAATGGCTGTTAACTGTACAACCTGATACAACTATCCCTACAGCAATGTATTTTAGACAATTACTAAAATTAATTCCTAGAGAACTTTTCCTTAAAATTATATTTAAGTGGCCGGGCACGGTGGCTCACGCCTGTAATCCCAGCACTTGTGGGAGACCAAGGTGGGCAGATCACTTGAGGTCAGGAGTTTGAGACCAGCTTGCCCAACATGGGGAAACCCCATCTCTACTAAAAATACAAAAATTATCTGGGTGTGGTGGTGCACACCTACAGTCCCAGCTACTTGGGAGGCTGAGGCAGGAGAATCGCTTGAACCTGTGAGGCAGAGGTTGCAGTGAGCTGAGATCACACCACTGCACTCCAGCCTGGGCCACAGAGCAACTGTCTCAAAAAAAAAAATTATATTTAGAAAGGCAAAAGGAAAATAATTATGGCAAGTTGATGGTAATTTAGTCTGAACCTTAACCATTTTTTGGGCTGAAAAAGTTGTCAGCCTAGAAAAACGGGGAATGAAGGCAAATACAGTAAGTCCTCACTTAATGCCATGGATAGATTCTTGGAAACTGCAACTCTAAGAGAAATGACATCTAGCAGGTCTTTGAATAATGTTCTTTTGTTCAACATCATTTCCTTATAACGGCAGTCCCCAACCTTTCTGGCACCAGGGACCGGTTTCCTGGAAGACAATCTTTCCATGGGTGGGGCAGGGGCAAGGTGGGCTGGTTTCGGGCTGAAACTGTTCCACCTCAGACCATGAGGCATTAGATTCTCATAAGGACTGTGCAGCCTAGATCCCTCCCATGCACAGTTCACAGCAGGGTTTGCACTCCTATAAGAATCTAATGCCACTGCGGATCTGGCAGGAGGCAGAGCTCAGGTGGGAAGGTGGCTGCTCGCTCACTCCCCTACTGCTCACCTCCTGCTGTGGGGCCCAGTTCCTAACCACAGACCACTGGTCTGTGACCCAGCGACCACTGCCTTATAACATGGATGAGAAAAAACAATTGGATTCATCATACATCACTTTGTTTAAAGTTCAGTTTCCAATAACTTATCAACGTCAAATGATGACTTGTTATAGTATTTCTGTTGAAAGATGACTTTCACAGACTTTATTTTTATTTATTTATTTATTTTAGTTTTTAGCAATGGGGTCTCACCCTGTCACCCAGACTGCAGTGCAGTGGTGCATTCATAGCTCACTGCAGCCTTGAACTCCTGGGCTCAAGTGATCCTCCTACCTCAGACTCCTGAGTAGCTGGGACTACAGGCATGTGCTACTGTGCCCAGCCAACTTAAATACTTTTAAAAAATGAACAAAACATAGGAACCTAAAGTTTCAACAATAGAACTCACAATAAATTCCAGAGTGTCAACATAACGGAAATTTTACATAGGCATTAGAAGTTTTATTTACAATTAATTGTTGGCAAATTCTTAACAAATATTCATAACATCAAGTAGAAAAAACAAATGACAATCATCTAAATAATAATCTCAAGAATATTTTTTGAATAAAGGAGCTATACAAATTATATGTATGTGCATACATGAAAAGAAAATGAGGCATTTAATAGTAAAATATTTCCAAATGCAATACCAGTAGTACCGTTTTCTTCTTTACAGAAGTGATAATCATTTTAGAAAAATTGGAAAATATACTAAATATAATCCTAAAAAGATATACAGAGAAAATTAAGTGTTCAAATATACGTTTTACTATTATCTTTTAGCTAATGGAGAAAAGAGAAGAGTTAACTTAGAACTGTAAGAACTGGCTGGGTGCAGTGGCTCATGCCTGTAATCCCAGCTCCCAGCACTTTGGGAGGCCGAGGTGGGCGGATCACCTGAGGTCAGGAGTTCGAGACAAGCCTGGCTAACATGGTCCAACCCCATCTCTACTAAAAATACAAAAATTAGCCGGGTGTGGTGGCGGGCACCTGTAGTCCCAGCTACTCCGGAGGCTGAGGCATGAACCTGGGAGGCGGAGCTTGCAGTGAGCCGAGATTGTGCCACTGCACTCCAGCCTGGGCGACAGAGCAAGACTCTGTATTCAAAAAAAAGAGCGGTAAGAACTGACTTTTTCTTAAGGTAGAATGAATTTAGATGATTTACATTTTAGTAATACACAATGCCATTCACTGTTTAATAAATATTCATGAATACAAAATGGTTTGATGCTGCTACTGCATACCTGACATTGCTGACCAAAGAAGAGAGAAAATACTGATATTCGTCAGAAACATCCTTTGACCGTATAGGAAAAAATGTGTTATCTTCAGTAACCTCCAAAGCCACACGCTTTCCTATTTTTGATGATTTATATAGCCGAAAGTTTCTATTTCTTGTATAAACTCCTACATCAAAAATTAATAAAACAATATGAAAGCATGTTTTCTGTGATTAGTTTTATAGTCAGCAAATAATTCAATTTTTATATAGCATTAATAAAAGAAATAAGTATTTTCTACATGTAGCTGTAAACAAAATAAAATTAAAGCACTATATAAATTAAAACAAACTGCAGTCAGCATGGAGGAATGCCACATTCTGAAACAGCAAACTCAATTATTCTGCTGCAATTCTGCAACTGAAACAAATGGAAAAGCTGGGCGCAGGTATTGGAAAGTCTAAGACAGTGAGGTTGTGCCGTGCCAAATCCCAGAGAAAAGGGAAGGACCAAAATCAAACAAATATCTAGAATAAATCTAACAACATATGGATAAGATTTCTATTCAGTAAATTATAAAACATTATAGAGAAAAATTAGAGAATCCCTAAGTAAATAGATGGGCCTACCATGTGCATAGATTGGAAGACTCAGTATTGTAAAAATGTCAACGCTCCCCAAGTTGGTCTGTAGAGTCGAGGCAATCCAAATAAAAATTCTAGCAGGATTTGTTTGTGTAAACTGGCAAACTGACTCTAAAATTTAAACAGAAGTGCAAAAGCTCAAGAATAACGAAGAAATTTCAAAGAACAAATTTGGAGGAATTGTTTTTCCTAGATATAAAGACTTACAACAAAACCATATTAGACAGTGTGGTGCCTATCTAATATATAAAACTATATTAGACAGGAACAGATCAACAGAACAATGAAGAACAGGGTCCAGAAACAGACCAAAATATACACAGCCACTGATTTATGGCAAAGGTGGCACTGCTGAGCAGTAGGTAAAGGACAGTCATTTCAACAAACAGTGCTGAGCCAACCGGATATTCACAAAAGAAAACATGAATCTTGACTGCTCCTCACTCAATAAGCAAATCATTTCCAAGTGGACTGTAAATCTAAACATAAAAGCCACACCAGGTGCAGTGGCTTGTGCCTGTAATCCCAGCATTATGGGAGGCCATGACAGGAGGATCGCTTGAGGCCTGGGCAACATAGCAGACCCTGTCTCTACAAAAAATAAACAAATAAAAAAATTGTGTTGCTCTATGATACTTAGAGAGAGAGAGAGAAAGAGACAGAGAGGGGGACAGTGAAAGGAAAGGAAAGGGGCAGGGGAGGGGCGGAAGGGAAGGGGGAAGGAAAGGGGGAAGGAAAGGAAAGGGGAAAGGAAAGTGAAGGGGGAAGGGAAGGGGGGAAGAGAAAGGGGTAGGGAAGGGGCAAGGGAAGGGAAAAGGAAAGGAAAGGGAAGGGGAAATGAAAGGGAAGAGGGAAGGGAAGGGGGAAGGGAAGGGGAAAGGGGAAGGGGAAGGGAAGGGGAAGGGAAGAGTAGGGGGAAGGGAAGGGGAAACGAAAGAGAAGGGAAAAGGGAAGGGAAGGGGTAAGGGAAATGCGAAGGGGGAAGGGGGAAGGGAAATGCGAAGGGGGAAGGGAAGGGGGAAGAGAAGGCGGAAGGGGGAAGGGAAGGGGGAAGAGGGAAGGGAAAGGGGAAGGAAAGAGAAGGGAAGGGAAGAGGAAGTGAAGGGAGAAGGGAAGGGAGAAGGGAAGGGAAGGGAGAAGGGAAGGGAAGGGAGAAGGAAAGGGAAGGGGGACGGGAAAGGAAGAAGGAAAGGGAAGGGGGAAGGGAAAGGAGGAGGGAAGGGAAAGGAGGAGGGAAAGGAAGGGAAGGGAGGGAAGAAATTGATTTTAAAATGTGGTCGTATGCACTTGTAGTTCTAGCTACTGCTGAGGCTGAGGCAGGAGGATTGCTTGAGCCCAGGAGTTCAAGGCTGCAGGATCGTACCACTGCACTTCAGCCTGGGCAACAGAATGAGACCTTGTCTCTAAAAAACAATGAATTAAACATAAACATAAAAGGCAAAACAATAAGCTTTTAGAAGATAAAGAAGAAAAGCAAAAGAATACCTTCATGGCTTTGGGATAGGCCAAGTTTTTTTTAACAGGATGCAAGAAACACTGACCACAGAGGAAAACACTGATAAAATCAGACTACTACTACTATTTAATGACTTATGTTCCTCAAAGACATGACTAAGGGTGCAAAGACAACCACAAACATACACTACAGTTTACCCCTGAATAACAAGGGTTTCAGCTAAATAGCACCACTTACATGTGATTTTTTTTTTCTTTCTTCTTTCTTTTTTTTTGATACTGAGTCTCGCTCTGTTGCCCAGGTTGGAGTGCAGTGGTACGAACTTAGTTCACTGCACCCTCTGCCTCCCAGGTTCAAGTGATTCTCATGTATCAGCCTCCCGAGTAGCAGGAATTACAGGCATGCACCACCACGCCTGGCTAATTTTTGTATTTTTAGTAGAGATGGGGTTTCACCATGTTGGTCAGGCTGGTCTTGAACTCCTGACCTCAAGCAATCTACCTGCCTCGGCCTCCTAAAGTGTTGGGATTACAGGCGTGAGCCAAATTTTTTTCAATAAGTATATTGGAAACTTTTGGGGGGACTTACAACAATTTGAGAAAACTCACAGATGAACCGTATAGCCTAAAAAATTAGAAAACGTTAGAAAATAATTAAAAATAATTAGAAAAAGTTAAGTGTTCATGAATGCATAAAATATATGTAGATGGCTAGTCTAAGTTATCATTTACTGCCATAAAATGTACATAAGTCTGTTATAAAAAGTTAAAATTTATCCAAACATATGCACACCCTTGCAGACTGTACATGATGCCATTCACAGTTGGGAAAAATCTAAACAAATGTAAAGATAGAGTATTAAATTATAACTGTGTAAGATTAACCGTAGTACATACTACACTACCACAATAATTTCTTAGCCGCCTCCTCTTGCTATTGCAATGAGCTCAGGTATCTGCCTACAACACGGCTTGATGCCAGTCCTCTCCATCTGAGCAGGTCATTACACCAATCAATTGCGTTTCACAGTCAAAAGTGATCCTTGGCCGGGCGCGGTGGCTCATGCCTGTAATTCTAGCACTTTGGGAGGCCGAGACGGGTGGATCACGAGGTCAGGAAATCAAGACCATCCTGGCCAACATGGTGAAACCCCGTCTCTACTAAAAATACAAAAAAAAATTAGCCAGGCGTGGTGGCGGGCGCCTGTAGTCCCAGCTACTCAGGAGGCTGAGGCAGGAGAATGGCGTGAACCCGGGAGGCGGAGCTTGCAGTGAGCCGAGATCGCACCACTGCACTGTAGCCTGGGCGACTGAGCGAGACTCGGTCTCAAAAAAACAAAAAGTGATCTTTGTAGTTCTCACATATTTTTCATCGTGTTTAGTGCAATACTGTAAACCTCGAGTAACACCATGGGACCCATATGAAGTGCCACTCATGATGCTGGAGGTGCTCCCAGACAGAAATATCATGACCTTACAAGAAAAAGCTGAATCGCTTGACATGTACATAGACTGAGGTCTCAGTTGCTGTTGTCGCCATTTCAGATGAACGATTCATCATGTGAACAGATGACCTAAACTTATAGTATCGATAAATACAGTACAGTATTGTAAATACAGTCCCTCTTTCTTATGCTTTTAGCAACATTTTCTTTTCTTTAGCTTACTTCACTGTAAGAATCCAGTATATAATACATACACAAAACATGGTGAATCAACTGTTTATCAATGAGGCTTCCGGTCAAGAGTAGGCTATCAGTAATGAAGTTTTTGGGAAGTCAAAAGTTATATATGGATTTTGATCTGCATAGAGAAGTCGGTTCCCCTAAGCCCTGCATTGTTGAAGAGTCAACTGTATGTGATTCCAATTACACAGTAAAAATACAGGCAAAACTAACCCACAGAGTTAGAGGACAGAATAGTTGTTACCCCTGGGACAGAGGGAGGGGTCCTGACTGGAAGGGGGATGAAGTTGGGGGTCCTGGTCATCTATTTCTTGTCTTGGGTAGTGTGGTGACAAGGGGTGTTCATTCTGTAATCAATTATATATTTTTCTGTATAAATGTTATACTTCAACAAAAAAGTTTCTTAACAAGATTTCAGCATACACTATGAAATCTCTGAACTTTCCAAGGATGGTTTAGGAAACGACTTCCCCATCCTCTCTGGATATGTGAGTAAATCCAGGCGTATGTATCAAGAGGACCAGGGAGATTTTCTTGCTAGTCCAGTAGCCTGACTTCCAAGGTTAGGTGTGCTATGACCTGGGGTACTGTGTTATACTGGGGTAGAAGTAGAGACAGGTACTGGCCACTGCTGCTCTCCCTGGATCAACTTCCTGTTATGCACTCTGCCTCACTGACTGCAGGCTAGTCCCGCCCAGAGACGACATCCTGCTCATAAAGTAAAACCTGTCAGGCTTGGAAGAAGGTGCCTCTGCCTGTGTGACTGCTCGACCTCACACTCCTCTGTCTTTCCAAGTTCTGGTGCTCGATTGCCAGGGGTGCTAGAAAAACATGAAATCTAGCAGGAACACGTCCCTAATCTCGGTACACTGTTGGCCTGGGAATCTGACCTATACCTTAAACCTACCTTCCCTCAGCCTTTACACACTGAAGCTCTCCGAGGTGTTCAAAACCAACAGCAAAAATGTTGCTGTCTGGCAGGTACAATGGCTCACACCTGTAATCCCAGCACTTTGGGAGGCTGAGGCAGACGGATCATGAGGTCAGTAGTTTCAGACCAGCTTGGCCAACATGGTGAAACCCCGTCTGTACTAAAAATACAAAAATTAGCCGGGCGTGGTGGTACGCACCTGTAATCCCAGCTACTCAGGAGGCTGAGGGAGGTGAATCATTTGAACCCGGGAGGCGGAGCTTGCAGTGAGCCGAGATCGCGCCACTGCACTCCAGCCTGGCGACAGAGCAAGACTCCGTCTTAAAAAAAAAAAGAAAGAAAGAAAGAAAAAGAAGAAACCTGCTGCTGTCATGGCTTTTGAAATCACAAGCTAGAGCCTCAGTATAAAAATGAGGTGCAGTTCACCAAATGGGAGCTGTTGTGTTAGGGTCTTGATTGGCCTGTTGTTGAACTATGCTCAAGTCCTGTCAGCCCAGGGCTTCTGACATCCTCAGGCTCTGAGACCAAGGCCTAGCAAAGCCACACTGGGTTGAGAAATCACTGGTTTCAACACAGCACGAAAGCTGATGAAATGGGCCCTGCCACAACCACTGAGATCTTCGGTGAGGAAAGCATCCAGGCTCACTGCGCCACATGAGTACTGCTTTTACACTGGGTCTGTTTTTTAAATGTCTGTACTCTGACTTAACCTCTCAGCAGTCCTGGAGGAAGCTGGTCCAACTGTTCCTGTAAAACTCCCTCAACAGGAATCCTCTGGACACGTAGAGCAGAAGGCAGCCACAGCCATCCTCTGCTGGAGCTCAGGCCGGTCTGGACCCCTCTAAGATCTCTGGAGAAAAACCTCACAGATTCCCAGCACCTGAACTCGCTGCTTGCATCCTGCTGGCGACTTGGGCAGTGGAGGAAGCGAGAATCCCAAGCACAGTGACGAGTGGGCACCAACCTGTTACTCACGAAAGCACCAGGACCGTCTGATAGAGACAGCTGTCAATCTTACTTACCAAGATCCACAAAAAGATGCTTCTCTCCCACGTTATTCTTCACAACTACAAACGAAAGGTCAGGACTGCTTTGCTCAGCTGACCCCAGCCTCTCCAGTTTCTCTGAATTCAATGTCCAGCTTTCCCCTGTAGCCTTCTCTGTGAAAGAAAATTCTTGTCTTGCAGGTGCTTCCAAAAAATGGGGAAATCCATGGCCTGTTGTCTCTGAAGCGCTATCATCATCTTCACTGCCAAGCAAGTCAAGAGCAGGCTGCAAAATTTTTCTCAAAAAATTACCTAAGGAAAAAAGCTGTTATGATTCACCCGATTCTTCTTTTCCACACACCATATCTTAAGGTCTAGCCATGAATCTACAGATGACAATACTTTTTTTTTTTTTAAGATGGAGTCTCGCTCTGTCGCCCAGGCTGGAGTGCAGTGGCCGGATCTCAGCTCGCTGCAAGCTCCGCCTCCCGGGTTCACGCCATTCTCCTGCCTCAGCCTCCCGAGTAGCTGGGACTACAGGCGCCGCCACCTCGCCTGGCTAGTTTTTTGTATTTTTAGTAGAGACGGGGTTTCACCGTGTTAGCCAGGATGGTCTCGATCTCCTGACCTCGTGATCCGCCTGTCTCGGCCTCCCAAAGTGCTGGGATTACAGGCTTGAGCCACCGCGCCCGGCCCACACATGACAATTTTATACAGAAAACCATTTTTTGATTTCTGGTTTCAAAACCAAGTTGCTATAAATTGTTACACACCAGTCCTGTGACTTACTTCCTTTTATGAAATCGTTTACCTTTTCAAGTCCATTGACTTGGGAGCCTGGTGTCAGATGTAAACAAATCATCTTAGAAGGGAAAGTTCATTTGAGAAGATGTGTCAGTGCTGCCGGTAGGGGCCTGAGCCTAAGAGGCTGTCATCCAGAAAACACTACTTATTAACACATACTGGGACATTCAATGATTAAAGAATGAAGGGCCTCGTGCCCTTAAGGGATCATAAAAATAATAATAATGAAGAATGAAGGTTTATATAAGGAAACTACTGCTCAGCTAACAGACAGAAGCACTGAGGAAATCTCAGGGAGTCAGGGTGCTGGCAAATTTCTCAAGAGCTTATTTTCTCTCCTTTACCTGCCACGACACGCCCTACAAACCCTGGCTTTCACAGTCGTCAGCCCCCAGGCTGCTGCTCCTACCTCTGCCTCAAACTGGGCACAAAATGGACTACGGCCTCGGAGCTAACATCCACAACAAAAGCAATTCGATACATTTACTGTACTTCGACATTTATTCTAAAAACTCTGAGGAACAGTAGTCCTATCTGTACCATGAAAAGTTGGTAAGAAAATCCAGAACTTCTTCGAACTCTCACATTTTACACCATGAAATCAAATAATTTGGCTATTAAGTTGCTTCATGTATACCAATACTCAAGAAATGCAATACTGTAAGAAAAAGTTAATTTTAATCTGTAGACCTGTTATTGTTTAGATTCATTCTTCACTTTATTTACCAGAAAGGCTTGGGTCCTTACATTATAACAAATGCATGCTCTAAATTCAAAATTTTCTTTCTTCACATTAGATTTTATTACTTGCCTACTCAGCCAGCTGTGGTGGCTCATGCCTATAATCCCAGCATTTTGGGAGGCTGAGGCAGGCGGATCACTTGAGATCACTTGAGACCAGCCTGGCCAACATGGTGAAACCCCGTCTCTACTAAAAATATAAAAATAAGCTGGACGTGGTGCTGGGCACCTGTAATCCCAGCTACTTGGAGGCTGAGGCAAGAGAACTGCTTGAACCTAGGAGGCGGAGGTTGCAGTGAGTCAAGATCATGCCACTGCACTCCAGCCTAGGTGACAGAGTGAGACTCTGTCTCACAAAAAAACAAAAACAAAACAACAAAAAAAAATTACTTCCCTACTCAAAGAAACAAATCCAATTTCTTACAAAGCACTAAATGTCAAAATCGAAACAAAAGCATTCGGTCTCACAATGATATGCTGGTACGGGATGGATTCCTTCTGGAATGAGGGAGAGAAAGTAAACACCAAGTGGAAAGAAATCACAACACATCAAAGGAAAACAAAGCAATCTAACTCCAAACTGATAAAGCTAATTTTCCTGAAAACTTAACATTGCAGTTACTTGACCCCACACAATAAGAGAAGAGAGTGCACAGTTGCAGAAACGGAGGCAATGGCAGTGCTGGGGAGGCCACAGGCCTTGGAACCCTGGCATGGAGCAACCATGGCCAGGACCACAACATGAGGACTGTCACCAGCATCAATGCTAACACATTGGCCCCAGCAAACCACACTGCTTTCTACTTCCAGGATCTTATTGCCTCCAACCCTCATGAGGACAGGAACTATCTTATTTGCTGGAAATAACTCAAAAGACTAGTCGGTCAGAAATTTGAGGTATGACAGCAAACTGGCAGAAGAGTATTTTTAGGCAGATCAAGAGCTAGGATCTCTTATATTTAACTGAATTCTCTTCTCCGAAAGGCTGACAACAGCAACTAGAAATGTCATCCAAAGATACACTAAGGGAAGAAAAAAGGAAAAATTCTGAATCACTTCATATTCTCTGCACCTCTGACTCTGGCAGCTCCTAATTCTAGGGCAAAGGGGCTGAGGTGACAGCCCAGTTACCAGGCCTGATCACATCTCTCCAGCCACATTAGACCATTCACTGTCCCCCATTATTAGCCACACACTCTTATCTCCATAGCTTTGCTTATGCTGTTCTGACTGTAAAGCCTTTCTTACCTTTGACTATACAATGAAATCTGACTGAAAGCCCAGATGAATGCCATCTGCTTTCAGAAGATACCTGTAGCAAAAACTGCTGGTACCTCACAAATTTCTATTCTCTCCTTCTTCCTGAGCAAGAGATTCTCAGCTTTCGGCCTGTGGCTAGTAGTCATAGAGCAGACGGTGACCAGTAAACAGCAAGCAAAGAAATAGCCTGTTTGGTGCTCTGCCTCACACCCTGACAGCAGTCGCTGCTCACTATTCATGCATTCATTCGGAAGGGATTTATTCAGATACGACTGAGCAAGAAGGCCACACACTGCAGAAAGGCAGCAAGCACGGGGGCTGGAGTCAGAGACAGCTCAGTTTCTGTTTTGGCTTTGCCATCTGCCAGCTCTGTGACTTTGGTCAAATCTAAACCTTAACATTCCCCAGCTGCTTAACAGGAATAACAATAGCACCTACATTTTGGAGTTGCTATAAGCAGTAAACAAGAAAATGAAATTAAGAAATTAACACAATGCCTGGCACATGTAACTGCTTAAAAGCCTTGGTTGTGCAGCCTTAGGACAAGTCCCTAAAGGTATTTATCAATATCCTCTGGATGAATGCACGAACAGTAAGGAGGACCAGGTGAACAGACCACGTCGTGTCAGACAGCCGCATCAGCAAGTGCAAAGGCCCAAGCACTACAGAAAATGTGGCCCGTGATAGGAGCTGAATGAAAAGGACAGGGTGGCGGGAGATGAGGCTGCCAACTTGTATTTATTATTGCTGTTGTTATTCTTATATTAATAATATTAGTAATATTATTGATAATGATATTTTTATTATGGGCTAAGCTCTGGAAATACAAAAGTAAGAAACAGTCCCTGCCCTAGAGAAACATTAAGTAGAATAGAGGAGATGACAAAGAAAACAGGAAATGACCATAGGAAGTGGTAAATGCTTTGACACAGTAACTCTGGACATTCTGTGCAACCCAGAGGAACACTAAACTAAGTAAGGCTTAGGGTTTCAGATGTGACAGAAACAGCTTCTCACACGGTTTGATGGTGACAGAGTCCTAACAGGCCAGGGGCTCATCCCTGTAATCCCAGCACTTTGGGAGGCTGAGGCGGGCAGACCACAAGGTCAGGGGATCAAGACCATCCTGGCTAACATGGTGAAACTCCGTCTCTACTAAAAATACAAAAAATTAGCTGAGCGTGGTGGCATATGCCTGTGGTCCCAGCTACTCGGGAGGCTGAGGCAGGAGAATCACTTGAACCCAGGAGGCAGAGGTTGCACTGAACCAAGAACATGCCACTGTACTCCAGCCTGGGTGACAGAGCGAGACTCCATCTCAAAAAAAAAAGTCTCACTTTCACTGTTCTCCAAGCCTCTAAGTCCATTCTTTGGGTTTGGATGGGTGAGTGTGTTTCTCACAGCATTAGGGAGAGAGACCGAGAAGGAACGTCCAGCTGAGCTAACAGGAAACAGGCAGGTGATGAGAGCCTTGTGAAAACAGCATGCTGGGTTTCTGTGGCCACCTTCCCCTAAGCCAGAATTAAGGTTCTTGACTTTCATGCCAGTGCTTTAGTGACTATGTCCACACCTTTTATTGTAGGTGGCTGTGAAACTCTAAGACACTAGTAGCTCTGAACCGAATTACCTGTTACCTGAGCTTCAGTCAATCATCTGCTGTTTGGACCCTTGCCCTACCCCTGCTTTGATAAGCTCTCAGGATTTGGCTTCTGTTCAGACCTCCATTATGGAGTTCCCATTCTACCTGTGTTTCTCCTTTGGACTGACTTAATGTTTAACACCTGGGCCTATATCTCTAAATGCCCAGGCCTGAGATAAATAATCTAGTTTCACTTTCAGACTTGTACCTCTAGAATTATCCCAACCCTGAAGCTCTGCCTGGAACAATAAACAAGCCATCTTTGATACGACCTGGGACCAAGTCCCAAAGCAAGGCCGAAGCAAACGTCAGAAATCCAGAAGCAACATTGCAGATAAGGCTTGAAATGGAAAGGCCTCTCATGAACTTTCCAGGAAACTGAAATAAATGCTGTTGGAGCAGAAACCACTATCTAAACTGAAATAAATGCTGTTGAGCAGAAACCACTATCTGACATGGATAGCTCATCCCAGTATCTATGATTAGAGACGCAAATGCCAAAGAAGTCCTGAATAGGCTGATGTGTCTAGAACAGAAAGCAGGTCTAAAGCTAAAGGAACATCTTGAAAACATGAAGAAACACATTGCCTTTTTTTTTTTTTTTTTTTTTTTTTTTTTTTTTTTTTTTGAGACAGGGTCTCACTCTGTTGCCTAGGCTGGAGTGCAGTGGTGTGATCTTGGCTCACTGCAACCTCCGCCTCCCGGGTTCAAGCAATCCTTGTGCCTCAGCATCCCGAGTAGCTGGGACTACAGGCATACACCACCATGCCCGGCTAATTAGTAGAGACAGGGTTTCGCCAGCTTGGCCAGGCTGGTCTCAAACTCCTAGTCTCAAGTGATGCACCCACCTTGGCCTCCCAAAGTGCTGGAATTGCAGGCGTGAGCCACTGCACTCAGCCCACATCACATTTTTTAGGATAAGTTAATGACCATAAAAGTTGATATGTATGCACAAAATTTTAAGAGGAACAAGAACATATGAGTTTTGAATACAACTCCATGATTTTTAAAAAGCAGTATACTTACCAACATGAATATTATCTTTAAATGCCACATCATGGAGCTGAAATATTAAATGCCGGCTGAATTTCTCATCAGTGCTAGAATCCAAGTTCAAAACATCTTCAGCTGAGCAATTAACACCATATAACTCTCGAAGCACTTTACACACATACTAAAAACACAAGTAAAATGCAAATAATTTATTTTTTTTGTCTTAAAATTTTTCTATGAGCAATAAGCATCTCTTTAAATATAATCTATGAGTTAAAAAGTCATTAATTTATGATCAGGCACAGTGGCTCATGCCTGTAATCCCAGCACTTTGGGAGGCCAAGGCGGGCAGATTATTTGAAGTCAGAAGTTTGAGACCAGCCTAGCCAACATGGTAAAACCCAGTCTCTGCGAAAAACACAAAAATTAGCCAGGCGTGGTGGTGGGTGTCTGTAAATCCCAGCTACTCAGGAGGCTGAGGCAGGAAGATCACTTGAACCCAGGAGGCGGAGGTTGCAGTCAGCCAAGATGGTGCCACTGCACTCCAGTCTGGGTGACAGAGAGAGACTCTGTCTCAAAAAAAAAAAAGTCATTAATTTATTTTGTAATGGTTTTAATTACCAGAAAGTGTCTAATTCATCCTGAGCCTGAATGCAGCTCTAAGAACACAGCCTCTGAGACTACATGGCACTGAGCATGAAGGCCATGCACCGTAGAAAGGCCGCAAGCACGGGGCTGGAGTCAGAGACAGCTCAGTGTCAGTTTGGGCTTTGCCACCTGCCAGCTCTATGACTTTGGTCAAATCTAAACCTTAACATTTCCCAGCTGCTAAACAGGAATAACAATAGCAGCTACCTTTTGGAGTTACTGTAAGGAACAAACAAGAAAATGAAATTTTTAGCACAGTGCCTGGCACATGTAACTGCTTAAAAGTTTTGGTTGTGCAGCCTTAGGACAAGTCCCTAAAGCTTCAATCTTCTCATTTGCAAAATGAAGCTACTAAGAACTACCATGCAATATTATCTTGACATGAGCAAAAATGTTTATGAACTGCCGTCACTTTGGATACCTAAAAGTTAGGCAACAAATTGTATTTTTAATAATGTTTGGGCATTCTTATAACACCACACTCCCTTCATGCTCTCTGGCTTTACTCTTCTGTAAATTCTCACTTTCTCAGAAAGGGCTTCCTTGATTTCCCTCTCTACATCAAATTCCCCCTATATACTCTTTCTCTCTTTATAGACTTACACAGCTACAATTTTAGGTTGATTTATGTGATTAGTTTGACATGTTTTATCTATATTACAGAGGCTCTTCCTCCATATTTGTTCTCTCCCTCTGTAGAAACAGAATCCCGATTTTTAGCTAGATTGGAGGCCGTCCAGAACAAAGACTACATTTCCCAGGCTTCTCTACAGCAGGGTGTGGCCGCTAAGTCAGCCAATGGGATGTGAGAAGGAAAGTATGCCATTTCTAAGTGATCCTCTAACAGGCAAAGGGCATGCCCTCCCCTCTCCATTTGTACTGACTAGAATGCAGACACAGTGGTATGTGCCATCTTGGATAATGGAAGAAGGCAACATCTTAGGGACAGCAAAGCAGCAAGCCTAGTCCCTAACAGTACGGAGCCACATTAGATATTACTTGGGGGAGAAACAGGTTTCTGTCTTGTTTAAGCCACTTTAATTTTGGGTCTTTATTATGGCAGCTAAATCTATCCTAATTTATTATCCTCCATTAGACTACAAAGTGTATGCCATCAGAAATTATGTCTCTTTGACTTACCACTTGATAATCCCAGTGCCTAGGCACAGTGCCTGACACTTAGTAGAGACTAAAAACTGATGAATGAAGTTGACTTCTGTACTTTCAGAGCCACAGAGAATAAATTCAGTGACACTTTAGGTAGGACAAGTAATCATATACTCCTAAATTCTCTTTCCCAAGATTAACTTTAATTAAAACTTTAAGTTACTTAAATAATTAAATTATAAAATCCAGAAGTTAAACTTATATGATTGGATAATGTTGCCCTGAAACATGGTCCTAATAAAATACATTAGCACCAGAATTCATTCTAACTGGGGAGAAGTGGCTTATTGAAATGTGCCAGTTTAGCTACTGAACCAAAGGGTATTTTATATTATCACTAATTATTATTAACCATCTGCTAAATTAACATAATAGCTAATCTAATTATGCCTCCTCACAGTAAGACTCAAAGGAAAAAGTACTTACTGGATTATAAACTTATTGCATACAAAGTAACCAATAAATGAAATTAATTTCAATGCAATCATTATAAAAAGCATTATATTAAGTAATCCAATGAGAACAGTTCTATCAACATGGTAAACATGTTAAATAAAACTGCTGTATAATTTTGAACTTAGATTTATACAGTTTCTTCCAACAGTTTTGCTGATGCAAAAGATTAGCTGCTCAAGACTCATTTGGAAAAAGTGGTATAAAGAATAAGGAGAAAAAAATTCTAAACATCTACATAGTCTTTGCCATACCAGTGTTTACTAATAGTGTTACAAATGAAATTTGCTCCAGTGTTCATTAGAAATATTTCTAGCTTCTAATGCAATGTGGTACTTCTTTGTTAATATGTAATGTTAAGTGGCAGTGAAAATCTCTGAATCGAGGTTCCTTATAGCCCACGGAGAAACTACACAAGAAATCTTACTTTAGACTTTAGAAGAAAGTCAATATTTATGAATTATTAAAAACATAATTAGGCCAGGCACCATGGCTCACGCCTATAATCCCAGCACTTTGGGAGGACGAGATGGGTATATCACTTGAGGCCAGGAGTGTAAGACCAGCCTGGCCAACATGGCAAAACCCTGTCTCTACTAAAAATACAAAAATTAGCCAGGTATGGTGGCACACACCTGTAATTCCAGCTACTTGGGAGGCTGAGGCAGGAGAATTGCTTGAACCTGGGAGGCAGAGATTGCAGTGAGCTGAGATTATACCACTGCACCCCAGCCTGGGTGACAGAGAGAGACTCTGTCTCAAAAATAATAATAATAATGATAATAATAATTAGGTTAAAAATTAAACAGAATTTACCAGCTGTAATGAAATAAGCATCTAAATTTATTTTTAAGGGTTCAATGGCTATTTTAAGAAAAACATAATTTGGGGGTTTTTTGGGGGGAGGCGGGGGAATTTATATATATTTATTCTGCTTCAAAGCCAGGATAAAGCTAATATTCTGTATATTTTTTAAATAGCATTCACATACATTTTCAAAAAGATTTAAAATCAAGCAAGTAAAGGTCCAACAGAGAATACTAGCAGATACTCTTTATCAAAAACATTTTAATTTGGATATATTTTAAAAGTTATAAAATGGGTAATCTATAACATTATTATTCAGTTAACATTTAAAAGAAAAACAGCTAGTCAATAAGTGTCAGTACCTACACTTAGGCTGAAGAATAGTCAGTACAATTTTAACACAACTTCCTGTGATACATCTGAAAATTTTTTTGAAATAATCCTAATAGAACTTAGCTGCACAAGTCCATGCTATTCCTTTTATTAGTAACTTCTTGGTTGACACAGCTAAATCAAAAATAAAGAGCTACAATATTTTTCTCTTAGTTAAAAACAGTGATAACTATATTTATACACAAGGTTTTACCAATACTGGTTGTAGGGCCTTGAATAGGAATTCGTTTAGTCTGGGCCTTAATTTCCTCATTTCGAAAGGGACAAGATAAGATGATTTCCAAAATTCCTGCAAGCTCCAAAAATCTGATACTGTTTGTAGTCAGTGTTCTTGAGGTTCATCTCAGTACCCAATTTTTACAGTAAAAATTATTTTGCCTGGCTTTTACCAAAGTCAGCTATTTGTAATGGAATTCAGAGAATTAATATATAATTTTAATATATAGAAAACTTCCAAACTGACATCTTTTTCAAAGCATTTTTTTTTACCAGACAGTAAAATCGCAAACTATATGAACATAAATTGAACTTTCCTTCCTTTTCAGTTTACTCATAAAAGTAATATTAAAAAATCAAAGTCAAAAGGAACAGTAGCAAGAAAAAGAAGAGATACAGAACTTACATATTATGTAGGTTGAATTCACTGAATGAATAAGCCAATGAAGAGCTGAATAGATAGAAATAAGGAAAACTTGAGTCGGCCATTTACCTCGATGAGTAATGCAACCATCTTCTTCCCATCAGCTCCTGGGTTGGCAGGTTTGTTAAATTCCAAATCAAAATAAAGCTTGCACACAGCATTTTCAGGAATAACTTCATAGCAGTGTAAGAGATTTTTTCTAAATTGAATAATTCAAGATTGTTAAATTGATATCTTATACCTTTATTGATTGATTGACTGAGACTGAATCAGCTCTGTTGCCCAGGCTGGAGTGCAGTGGTGTTAGCTCACTGCAACCTCCTCCTCCTGGGTTCAAGCGATTATCCTACCTCAGCCTCCCGAGTAGCTGGGACTACAGGCACATGCCACCACACTTGATTAATTTTTGCATTTTTAGTAGAAACAGGGTTTACGCCATGTTGGCCAGACTGATCTTGAACTCCTGGCTTCAGGTGATCCACCTGCCTCAGCCTCCCAAAGTGCTGGGATTACAGGTGTGAGCCACTATGCCCAGCCTCTATCTTATTCCTTTTAAATCGTGGCAGTTTATCTTACATTGCAAATACTGTGTTAACTGTGCTTTCACTACATACAAGTATGAAATAAGAACATGATAAAGTGAACTGTTCACCATAGGTTTATGGCTCATCGTATCAAGGGTTTCCATCAAGCAAAATGCAACAATTATATCCTGTAACATTATTTAACTGGAAAATACAGTCAATCTTACAGTGCTATTTATTTACAGATGAGTTTGATATTGTGTAATACCTCTATATTTGTTTTTAGTGTCACCATGAAACAAATTTTCTTTGAAAAAAAAATGTTCTTTTCAGGATGCCATATTCCTCGGATTCCATTAATTTTCCATGAGAATTTTTAAATTCTGTATTTTCATTGGAAGATAATATTTTAAAAATTGGTTAAAAAATTCTGAATCACCTGACGGATAAGCTCTCAAGGCTCATGTTTGCAGTTACATTCTTTCTGGCATTAAGAGGAATGATTTTGACATGGGTTAAATAGGGAGAGATGCTGACTTAATTTGCAAATGATAATTTGGACTAAAGTTCAGATGGCATCCTATATAAATTAAGGACATGTAGTAATTTGAAGAGGCAAAAGTTATGTGAAAATTGTATCATCAGGTGGCACAGGTAGTGGAGGAACTCAACACACACATACACATACACCCATACACATCCTGGAGCAGTCAGTACCATATTTACATTGCAAGATGAGACAGTTTCAGCAAAACATCTGTCACGTTATCTTAATGATTTTCATTCAACTCTAACTGGTGTTGCACGTATATAAACATAAATAAATCCAGTTTCATATTTGAAGCTACTTAGCAACTTTCGAATAAAAGTATTCTAAATCAATATAGGGCATACATAACAATTTACTCTCCTTTTCCATACATTACACAAGTCTGAGAAATACCTGAATACAGCTGGGCACGGTGGCTCACACCTGTAATCCCAGCACTTTGGGAGGCTGAGGCAGGCAGATCATCTGAGGTCAGGAGTTCGAGACAGCCTGACCAATATAAAGAAACCCTGTCTCTACTAAAAATACAAAAATTAGCCAAGCATGGTGGCAGGCACCTGTAATCCCAGCTACTTGGGAGGCTGAGACAGGAGAATCACTCGAACTCAGGAGGCAGACGTTGCAGTGAGCCGAGATCATGCCATTGCACTCCAGCCTGGGCAACAAGAGTGAAACTCCATCTCAAAAATATTTAAAAAATAAAAAAAAAGAAAGAAAAAAAGAGAAATACTTGAATAGATCACTCAGTTAACATAAAGCTAATAAGCCAGGTGCAGCAGCTCACACCTGTAATCCCAACACTTTGGGGGGCCGAGGTGGGTGGATTACCTGAGGTCAGGAGTTAGAGACCAGCCTGGTCGACATGGTGAAACCCTATCTCTAAAAACATAAAAATGAGCCGGACATGGTGGCAGACGCCTGTAATCCCAGCAACTCGGGAGGCAGAGGCTGCAGTGAGCCAAATCATGGCACTGCACTGCAGTCTGGGCAACAAGAGTGAAATTCTGTCTTCAGAAAATAAAAAATAAAGCTAGTAACAATTTAAAATAGTAATAATAAAGTCAAGATAAAGCAGGTATTTCTTTATTACTAGGTAAATAACATAAATATTCCTTTGTGATTAATAGTATAATTTAATACCTGTTTGCAAAAGAGAGATTTCAAAACTCCCTTTGAGTACACACATATATTCGTGTACGTGCATGACTATTTTCTCCCAGCACCTGGTGAGATACTCAAGCATTGCTATGACAAGAAAACTCCAGATTTCAATTCTGAGAGTAAAGGAGCAACTAATAGTGTGGTCACAAACTGTGGAGGCCAATTCAGCCTGAATTAATTTCACCAAAATTCCTAGGCAAAGGAAATGGAACTCTAGCTTAATGTGTGGTTCTGCTGCATGCTACCTACCTGGATTTATAGTAAAACCAAAATTCAGCATAGGTTGTCACAAGGTAAATACGTTGTCCATCTCCTACTTTGTATTCCAAAGCAAATACGTGAACGTCCTAAATAAAATCAAAAAAGATTAGAAAAATTCACAAAATGCAAACCTAAATTCAACTGTAGCTATTGAATGTTCATAAAGAATTTTTCATTCAAGTTTTCAGAAACTGTAATTTGAACATTTGTATTATTAAATACAAGACAAATAGTCACTAGGTTTATGCCATTCAAAATCTAATTATACCTATTTTTTAATCATTCATATAAAAGGTGAAAACAATTAGAATATGCAGACCGAAGAGAAAAAAGGAGAGAAACCACTCTTAAAAATATTACTCATTTGATTTCCTATGATAGTTTTATGAAATTAAACTTATCTTTTAATGATTTGGGCTAAAATTAATTAGTAAATTCCCTAGTACATATAAAAATGTATGTAGGATACTTTTTTTTTGTTTTTTTGAAACAAGAGTCTTACTCTGTCACCCAGGCTGGAGTGCAGTGGCACAATCTTGACTCACTGCAACCTCTGCCTCCCAGGTTCAAGCAATTCTCCTGCCTCAGCCTCCCAAGGAGCTGGGATTACAGGCGCCCACCACCATGCCTGATTAATTTTTTGTATTTTTAGTAGAGACAAGGTTTCACCATGCTGGCCAGGCTGGCCTCGAACTCCTGACCTCAAAGTGATCTGCCTGCCTTAGCCTCCTAAAGTGCTAGGATTATGGGCGTGAGCCATCACACGCAGCCGAAACCATTTTTTTAAAGGTTAATTACTGTGATGGTGGTTTAAATATAATTGTCCATGCCTCCTGCCATAAAGTTTCTTCTAATAGAGCAATACATCTACAAGTTCTTTTGTTTCCTCTTAGCTAAAGGTAGCTGGTGAGCACATTTTTCTTTTCATGAGTGAAAAAATCACAGGACTCAGTTACTTAACCCTAACAAAAATCTTTTTGAAATAAATTTTACAGACTGGTGATTAGCAAGTCCAACAAGCATACCCCTATCTATATCTTTTTAAAATTCAAGTTCAGATGAATCTGTCAGTATTTTAATTGCTGCTGCTTGAATTAGGTTTACCCAAAATGACTAAGAAAGGTATTTCTTAAACCATTCTCATGAGATTTGAGTAAGCATATCCTGACTAGAGAAAAGAGGTCCTTCTAAAACTTCCAGCACTTGGAGCTTTTAGACAGCAACAGTGATCAGACTCACAGTACATTTCTGCTATCATATATGCATCTTATCTTTTCTTTCACATTTCTTTATATTCCCCACAGTGCCCAAGAAAAAAAGAATGTGAAATACACATCTGTTGCTTGATTTAGTGATTTTTGTTTTTGAGCACCATGTTCTTTGAAAGGCTGACACTCCTTTCTCCCACTTGCTTAATGTGTTGAAAAAAACATGGTTCCCCGCCCTCTAAGCATAAAGCTTCATTTAAATGTCATTACAATTTTTAAAATCTAATGGGCACTGGACGTGCCATTCTTTTTCATTACTAATATAAATTAAATGGTAAATGATTCACAGGGATATTTTTCCTAAATCACATGCCATTAAGATTCCCATTAAATTCTCTTGGTAGAATACATGGCCTGAAATGAAGACAAATAATAGATTAAAAAAAAAACAAAAACTGAAATTATAAAGAAGAAGAAGAAGAAACAAGAGGAGGAAGTGGAAGAGGAGGACAAAGAAGAGGAGGAGGAGGAAATTACTTCTTTACAGCTTTTAACAAAATTAAAAGCTTGAGCTTGTCGATGAAATAGTCTCCAAATGGAGGGTGGTTCCTCTGGCTTGGACAGTCTTGGTCTATACACTGAGGGCAATGGTTTCCTCTCATAATGAGATGCTCGTTCTTCAATTTGCTTCAGTTTTTCTTCCCATTTTCTGTTCATTGGTTCAGAAGTACGGAGAGAATAAATCCTATCCCATGTAATATTTCTATCAATTACTACTAAAACAAACAACAAACAAAAAGGCCATTAATTTCTTTATTTAGAATACATTTTGTTTGATAAAGTTTCAAAACTCACTTCCTGACACTTATTTCCTTGTTTATTCTTTGCATGAAGTTTTACCACAGAACAAGAGCAAGGATGGCTATCAGAAATTCTTAGATTCTGGTTCTTCCTCTAACAGTATTATGACCTTGGACAGGTTAATGAAGCTCCCTGAATCTTATTTAATCAACTGAAAAATAGGAATCAATATTATCTTGAGTACTTTATATACTTACCTTGAAGATAAAGGTCATAAGACATAAGCAAATGATCTCTAAATTACAAAGCCTCATGTAAATATATGTGTTTTTTGTATCATTATGGTTTTTACTATAACCATTTTATTGTGTCACATGCTATGACCTTGTCCACCATTCTTGTGCTATTATTTCTCGGGGTAGAATTCATTTCTAGATACCAATGTACAGCTCTTAGTTCCCTTTTCCTCTGTTTCTGTCCATGTCTCCTCTTCTCTCTCAACACAACTTTTAGTTGGGAATATGAATGGGAATTACAATATTGGCTAGTTTTGGATGTCTATAGTAATGGATGATTTTTCTTTCTATATAATACTTCCATGTCAACCATACCAGAGTAAGGGTGCCAGGCAATAATTTTCCTGGATTATAATTCATTTACAAAAGAAAAAGAATAGGTTTTTAGAAGGAGAGTGGGAAAACTTTCACTCTAGATTAAAAACAGCCAAATCAGCCACAAACTCCTTGCCACAAACTCCTTGTACCTAAACTCACTCTCATACTGACCCTCAGCTTGGCCATATGACTTGTTTTGGGCCAACATCACATTGACAAAAGTGAAGCAAGCAGAGGTTTAACGAGTGCCTTTGCAGCAGACTTGGTTATCCTAAAATCCTGCCCTGAGATTGCCATGCCATAACTCTAGCCTCATAGAGGATGAAAGTCCACATGGAAAAGAACCAAGGAATTGCAGCCAACAGCCAGCATAAGCAGTCAGATACGTGAGTTGGGCCATTCCAGACATCCAGCCATCATCTGAATTCAATGCATTAGTAAGCCTGAGTCCCACAGAGACCTACCAAACTGCCCAGCCAACCCACAGAGCTGTAAGAAAAAATATATTTGGTTGTTTCGTCTTTTTTAAGCCAGTAAGTTTGGGGCTGGCTTTGACATAGAAACAGGTAATTAATAGAGTTCCTCTCTTCATTAATATCATCTTTGCCATAATTTACCTATGTGGAAAATAGATATATTAGGGCTTAAGTGAAATAATATGTACTAAATCATTTAACAGAACACGTTTGTGTTTATTGAGTTGATAAACATCGTCTTGAATTTTAGCAGAAAACTTTGTAGCAACACAAACTCATTGGCAAACGAGTATTTCCTGGAAGGAAAACCAGAATCTCCCTAAAAGATTAAGAGAGGGGGCCAGGCGCGGTGGCTCACGCCTATAATCCCAGCACTTTGGAGGCTGAGCCGGGTGGATCATCAGGTCAGGAGTTCGAGACCAGCCTCACCAAGATGGTGAAACTCCATCTCTACTAAAAATACAAAAATCAGCTGGGCGTGGTGGTAGGCACCTGTAATTCCAGCTACTTGGGAGGCTGAGGCAAGAGAATAGTTTGAACTGGGAGCGGAGGTGCCAGTGAGCCGAGATCGCACCACTACACTCCAGCCTGGGTGACAGGGCAAGAATCCATCTCAAAAAAAAAAAAAAGATTAAGAGAGGGTAGGCCGGGCACGGTGGTTCATGCCTGTAATCCCAGCACTTTGGGAGGCAGAGGCGGGCGGATTACCCGAGGTCAGGAGTTCGAGACCAGCCTGACCAATATAAAGAAACACCGTCTCTACTAAAAATACAAAAATTAGCCAGGCGTAGTGGCAGGCTCCTGTAGTCCCAAATACTTGGGAGGCTGAAACAGGAAAATTGCTTGAACCCAGGAGGCAGAGATTGCAGTGAGCTGAAATTATGACACTGCACTCTAGCCTGGGCAACAGAGCAAGACTCCATCTCAAAAGAAAAGAAAAGAAAAAAAAAGGGCAGGGGTAGAACATCATAACCTTGTTAGAAAAAAAAAAAGGCATATTATCCACAGATTTCAAATCTGACATCAATCATAACAGACCTAAGAAAGATTATTCTCTCAGAGTTCTACCTAATTCACATAAAAATTATAAACTAGGAAACAGAAATATAATTCTAAAGGTACTAACATAAATTTCATAACAGGTATGCTTAGGAAAAATATCAATTCAACTGGATTGAGGAGATGAAGCAATTTTTTAAAAAACTGCTTTGGCCGGGCGCGGTGGCTCACGCCTGTAATCCCAGCACTTTGGGAGGCCAAGACAGGCAGATCACAAGGTCATGAGATCGAGACCATCCTGGCTAACACGTAAAACCCTGTCTCTCATAAAAATACAAAAAAAATTAGCCAGGCATGGTGGTGGATGCCTGTAGTCCCAGCTACTCAGGAAGCTGAGGCAGGGGAATGGTGTGAACCTGGGAGGTGGAGCTTGCAGTGAGCCAAGATGGTGCTACTGCACTCCAGCCTGAGTGACAGAGCAAGACTCTGTCTCAAAAAAAAAAAAAAAAA